AATGTATGATTATTTTGTCTAAATAATAAAAACTGACATTTCATATTCCGTATTATTTCAATTATTCGTGAATACTCGCGTGGTTTCAATCCTATGTCAGGCGGCACCCATTTTTAGATCATGTTATTCAATGCTTAACTTCAACGATCATCCGGAAACTAGTGATGCCGATGCGCCGTAACGATATCTCTCTTTTGATAATATTTACAATATACTCTTATATCGTTCAAAAAATGTTATGACATATTTGTTGGTAAATGTTTGACACGACAATCACAATATGATTAATATTGATACAATGTTGTATCAGTAATCAAATTTTAACCTACAACTCGCAAAAGAGAGAGAATATTCTTTCTTTCTCTCTCACAATACTTTGACAGAGTAAAGTTATGATTAGACTCTTTGTAAGAACTCTAGTTTTACAATATCGTGATAACGATCCTTGCATATATTAAAATATCACATTTTATATACGAGAAATACCTAAAGTATAATTTCACATTTATATATAAAAATATTGTACAACTGAAATGTAATGCAAACATTAGACTTCTTATATAACATGTTATATTAAAGTTATGTTGCTGTTATATTGTTGATGTAACTTAACTAGTAAATAACATAATAACTTAACAGTTTTATAACATAGTTATATTGCAGTTATAAAGGAAATTAAGTAACCTCAATATTAATAATGTATAACAGCAGTTATATTACATGTTACTCCTGTGTTATATCATAATTATGTTCTGTGTTTGCTGGGAGGTTACTTATATATAATCATGTATAATTATATATATAATTTTATATATAATTTTACATAATTGCACATACAATTATATGTAATTGTACATATAATTATATATAATTGTGTATAATTATACATAAAAAATTTTATATGATTATATATAATGATATATAATTATGTATGGGCAAATTTTATATACAAATATGTATGAAAAATTTTTCATCGGGCAGCTTTCAAGAGCTTGCTTTATTCTCTCTGTCAGTGTTAAAATGTAATTAATCGCGCATGTAATGACCAGTTAATTACACGGTCGCGCCGGCTCGTCCTCGAGTAAAGGCCTGAGTATAAAAATGCACCTTATAGTCGAAATCTTGCGTATTTTCAGCACGCTCTCTTTCTCTCTTTCTCTCTCCTTCTCTCTCTCCGTAATAAAAAATCCAACTTATTAAACTAACGTCGTAGCTATCGAATGAAAGCGAGCTCGACTTTCTCGCAATGTACTATTGCGTAACTCGAATAAATATCGTACGCAATTCGCGTGGTGGTACACATACTGAATAAGAATAAAAGGCAAATACAAACAGCGGCGACGATTTATTATTTTGGACGTTAGTGAACGTTGAGGATATCGAGGAGAGTCAATATTCCTGCGAGAAAATAGTGAGAAAAAGTTGATTAGCGCGTTAAAAGGGAATTCAAATATTCGAATGTGTCAAGAGATATATTCATCATGCGGTACGTGTGCAAAAGCGACATCGGCTCTACGTACTTTTCGCGCACCGCGAATTTTCATTGGAGGGAGGCTGGCTCATTTGCAAGCGTATAAATACGCAGACGGTATAAGAATATGGGAGTTAGTTAGCTGATGCTAAATCCATCGCTTTTCAATTACAATCGCTTCGAAATTGTACATGTGTGTGCATTCGTGTTCATGCGTGTATTAATTCGCAATATCGCGTGTGGAGCGTGCAAAAATTGTAAGTAATTATTTTTTTCTAAAAATTCAACTGATTTTTCACACTGACAAATACGAATACGTGTTTTAAGCTCGAAAAACTAAAAAGCCGTCAGACACGTATAAAAGATACACATTCATTTTTATTGTGTAAATATTATATAAATATTTGTAAAAACGCCTGTAATATCTTGGCCTTTCGTGATGATTGACGCTTGATTTGATTTCCGGATTTGATTTGAGTTGTCGTGTCCTTCATGGATGTCTCTTTTGTAGAAACATCAGAAACAAATCCGCGAAAGATATGACACCAACCCAGGAAGCTAGATCAAATCGTAAGACCAGATCTTTAACTACTTATACGCTTTGTTTATTTCTCTGATAGATTCTTGTAGATTTCGCGTTTTCTATGAAATATCGTCTGAAAAATGAGCTGTCGCATATTGAAATGTTGACTTGATCAGCGAAAAGATATTAGAAAAGCTTCGATTGGTAGCTCCCGCTTATCCTCTCGTAGCGAGACTTATTGCTATGCGATCGGTATACGCGATTGCTCGCGCGGCGCACTCCACTTGCATGCTTCGATACGCCAATTAATAGACCCGCCATCCTGAATTGTTAATGCGAGGGAGTAAATGTCCCGCATGAAATTTGACGAGTGGAACAATGCTATTTACGATGGTGAAATACCTACGATGATCGGATGATCGGATGCGTGTGTTCTCTTATTATCAAATCGAGCGAGATTTTTATCGCGATGCCGAACAATCGACGACGAATAATTCATCTATCGATATATCTCTAAACAACTATCCCTCTTCTTTATTGTAAACTACGCGTGTATGCATTTCTTTGCATCTGCTGAATATCGTTTATGCGTTCTATGCCATCTCAATCAATTCTTATGCCCGTTTCTACTAACTTTGGTTAACTTAACTGGTTGATTATTCCAATAAAACTGATTAATCACATTTTTCCTTAGTCAGACGCGATTAATAGATGCGATTGGTCAATTTCGTTGGAATAACCAACCGGTTAAATTAACTAAAGTTGATAGAAGTAGGCATTAGAAAGCTATAAATTGCAGGAATACATGAATATTAACTTCTTCGTTGTTTTGTGTTACATTTGGAATTTTTACGACAGTGTTATAATACGTGTTTATGATGTGCATTTTTTAGTATGGACAATACGAGAATTAATTAAATTTTATTTCCCGCTCATGTGTTATCTTGCAGAGAATGAGAGAGAGAGAGAGAGAGAGGCAAAAGTATTTTTTTAACAAAGTTCAATTAGTTATACTCGTGCAGCATCTCGTTTTACCCTCTTTGCACATTCTCTTATTCAGGTAGAACACAAAGTCACATAAAAGTCAAAATAACGTTAAATGATAAAACTTAGATGCATGTATAAAAGATGTCGAAAAGATATCTAAAAGACATCTTATGCAACATTTTGTTATCTTTTTGCATTATCTTATGCACATTGTTGATATCTTTTCGACATCTTTTAGACATGCATGTTATTTGGGAAGTGATGTCGTTTTGACGTTAAATGATTCCATTTTCATGACAATTTCATGACAATGATGTTAAAATGATATCATCTTGACATCCAAATGATTTTGTGTTTTATTTGGGTAGCACGTTTAGTCTAAGAGGAAAATTATCCTAATGGGTTCTGCCATAATGCACTTACTGTATCTAAGAATTTGAGATACAAGGACAAACTGGCTGATAAAGTGATCAAGAGCCTTTGTCACACGGAAATGCATCCTCATCCTTTTGTCGTGAACTTCTCGCCTGTCTATTCCTGTTAATCTTACTTTGTTTTGCTGGCGCAGCACTGGCGACACAACGGCTACTATTTGGATAATAACCTCGGTCCATTGCTCGTACCAGATCTGGCCTAGACGTTGTTAACTAATACTGGTACGTACAGTTAGCATTATAATCCAGTAATGGGCCAATATTGGCTGCCAGATTTCTGACAATGGTGTAGCATTGACAACATTATTGGGCCAGTAATGGCTCAATATTTCGTCAGTATTAACTCGGCATTTATCCGAAAAAAATTATAATCAGATATCGGACTATAAATTTTATTAATATTTTTTTTACTGAAATTGTTTCTTATTTATAATTTAATTGGTTGAGTTAGTAAATATTTGAGGGGAAATTTCATTCATCTTGGTTTTCGAACCTGACCTCTCTAAGACCAAGAGTCGTCTGCCTTATGCGCTACGCCACTTCACCAATTGACAGCTAAATTATATATTTGTTTATATATAGTAAATTGACAAGTAATCAGTTGCTAGTAATATCCCAGTACTGATTGAAAAAATTTTGACGAAAGAAGTTTGTAGCCGATCATTAACCTTCATTATAACATCAAAGGTTATCTTCACTCTCTTGGAAAGATAATAATAAAGGCAATAATTTTTGCCAAAGTTGGCTTATTAGTAGTTATCGTCGTTATGGTAAACAATTAGCGGCCATACATTAGCCAAGCGTTGGTCTTCATTTAACATCAGACTATCTCATATACATAGGTAGCCAGTTATTTACTGATCCAGTACTGGTTGACAGAGTCAGGCAGATAGTTGACTGCCACATTAATCTTCTGTCATTGTAATCTTCCGAAATTGTAGTTGAATCGCACGCTAGGCGAGATGTGGACTTACATTGCCCTCTTAGTCGTTATCTACGTTCTATACGCGGTGTGGGATTATATCAGGATTTTGAGATTCATCTTCACCCTCGACGGACCAAGGGCCGTGCCCATATTCGGCAACGTGGGCTTAATTTTCGGGGGAAACCGTGAGTGAATTAACGTCATTAATTGAAACAGACACCCCTTATAGAAATATCATACTAAGAATCATTGATAATTACTTATTTTTAGTATTAAAAATACTGGATAATAAGTAATTATCAATGATTCTTAGTATGATATTTCTATAAGGGACGACGTTCAGATAATATAATAGAATGTATTAAGAATCAGTTAATGATCAGTATTAATCATTTAATGATAAAAATAACGTATTAATTAATTAATTGAATATAATAAAGAGAAAGATCTATTACTGAGAGCGATAAGCGACGAATGACATTCTTGTGGTAACTTTCATGTTTCTATCTCAGTGATGCAGAAGTTGGAGAACGACATGTTGAATTACGGCCGTATATTCCGGATATGGCTGACGTGCTTACCTTATGTCATGCTCGTGCAGCCGGATGACATTCAGATGGTGCTCAGCAGCATGAAGCACACGCGTAAGATATGCTTCTACAAGCTGCTCCACAATTTCATCGGCAAGGGTCTCATCTCGCTGGAGGTCAACAAGTGGAAGTTGCATCGGAAAATCCTGCAGCCGGCGTTTCATCTTCACGTGCTCGAGAGATTCGTGGGAACATTCGGAGAGCACGCTAATCGTCTAGCCGACAAACTGCTCGAGCAGAACGCGGAGGACGTGAATCTCACAACATTCATTAACAACTGCGGCTACGAGATACTGACTGGTAATGTGTCGTTTTTTGTGTCCTATATGTTCGTTTAAATTCGTCTCATCTTCATTTTCACGGGGAGTTCTCGGTATCTCTAATAAGAACGCTGGGCTGATATCCGATACGAGTCAACTTCTCGCACTTGTTTCTATTATAGATGCAAAGCTATCATGTTTTTTTCTATGTACTAGAACATTACAGGCACGCGCGTTATTTAGCATCTTTATTTTTACGATGACCTTTTAAATTATCTTATAAAATTACCTTATTCTTACCCTTATTTTTACTTAAATAACGTAATATTGCAGAAACATAACATAAACATGGAATTGTAACATTCCATCGGAAATGTTAAAAAATTTATATTGCAGAAACAATATAAATAATTAAAAACTATAATGCTATAATTTATGCATAATACATACGTGATATATGCGTTTTATATCTTAATCACAGAAAAAAAAATTTAAGTATTCACTTATATTTATATTTTCTTATATATATTCTTATATCTTATATTATGCCTTTATAGCGTCTGCATGCTGCGTTATCTATTGGTCTGCCCTTTTCAGCTGAAGTGGCTGCGCTAGTTAAAAAAAGTATATACACATTAAAGCATATGTACGAAATTCTCATGTTTTAATCTGTGTACATTTCTTGAACTAGTGCAGTCAAGTCAACTAAAAAGAACAAACCATATAACATGCCATCTACCCTTATAGAAATATCATACTAAGAATCATTGATAATTACTTATTATCCAATATTTTTAATACTGAAAATAAGTAATTATCAATGATTCTTAGTATAATATTTCTATAAGGATATATTTGTACATTTAACAAAAAACGCAGTTTAACTTTATTATGCATTGTCAGCAGCTTTGTAAGATTTTCTACTGAATGACATTGGTGTTTTACGCCAACATGTTTACCAACATGTTTACTAGTCGCTATTTCTTCTAACATATGTTAAAAGAATATTTAACACGCTGGACCACTTTTAATAAACATGATGGAAAAGCGTTAACCGCAAATCCTGTTTTTCAACAGAAATCCTTACAACAGTTGCAAAATTGCTAACAGTGCAGTGGGAAGCTTCTTCTGCTCAATGCAACCATTAGATTACATTTCACCGTAACGTTGCTACAATGTTTCATTGCGACGTTTCTAAGAGCGGACATTTCAACATTGCTGCAACCTTGCGGTAATGTTGCATCAATGTTTCGCAACATATATGGAATGTTACAATGTTTCCGTGTAATATCTATGCAATGTTCCTGCAACCTTTTTGTGTTGTATGAGTTCTCTCTTTATCTGCCTTTTCGTTTTCCTCTTTCTCCTCTACTCTTCTATTCTCTATTCTTCTATTCTTATAATTTATATCTCTTCTATATTCTTTTCTTCATGGGCTAACCAACGCGATAACAGTTATTTGCCTGATAATTTGACAGGCGCAAACGAAGTAAGCCGCAGCCCACATGAAGGACGCGATCTATTAGACACTACAAACGCTTTGAAGCGCTTTGAAGAGAAGTCATGATTGGTCTATACATCATTTCAAAGTATTTGAAACGTCTAATGGATCGCATCCGAAATGAGCTAAGCGAGAGAACCAATTAACATCGCAGAAAAGCGGCAACAATTAAATCTCTTACATGCCTTTTTTAGAATGGATTAATTAATTAAAATACTTAATTAATTAATTAAAAATCTAACATATGAACATGTTAGAGTGATGTTTCATATATTCAACAAGAAGTGAACATCGAGTGTAATTAGTACTTTTATGGCTCCTGCCCACAGGACGCGGCAACGCTTGCCGTGTGGCGGAAATTCGTGCGACAGCCAATCAATATGTTGCTTTCCGTAATAACCTTGTAGCTTTCACAGAAAAACAACATATTGATTGGCTGTTGCGTGAACTTTCGCCGCGTCCTGTGGGCAGGAGTTATTATTTATAGTTTTCTCTTGTAAACAATACGCCTATGATACGTCCCTTCAAACAATACGCTCTTTCCTATTTTATATTAAACACATATAAATTTTGATGCGAAGGTCGTATGTGAAGCGTCTAAGTATAATTAGAAAAAAAGTGTTATTGAATAACAAACAATCTACCGGCTATAACGCATTAGTTAACATAAATAGCGTGGACATAAATATCGACTTCTAGGAAATGGTTTTATAAGTACGACGGCTATTTTTATAATACTGTCACGTATTCCGCGTAAAATATCACGCTGATAGAATTGTATATTGCATTATAAACGTACGTACGGAGAAAATTTTATAGTTAAAAGAATAACTATAGAATTTTGTAACCGAGGAATATGTATATTCAAGGGACAGATCGATCGTACGACTGGATCGTAAGGACATTGTTAGAACGTCTTTAGAAGATGTCCTGTGAAAATTTGTGCTGCTTGGATATCGATATTGTCTTAATTTATTATCCTTCATATGTACTATTTATATTTCACAAGAACTGAAGTCTACTATTAAAAAAAGGAATTTATCATATTTATTAGATTTGGTTCCCGGGTTTGAGCCACGTGGATTCTTTTTTGTATAATTCCGACGTTTCGCGAACATTTCAGTTCATTTTATCAGATAAGAACGATCCGATGCTGATGCACTTTTTCCCTGATGAAGCGGACTTCACGAAATGTCGAAATCAAACAGAGAAGAATCCAAGTCGGAAACCAAGTCTAATATGCATGGACACCGCGAAAGCCTAAAATATCAAATTTACCATATTTTTTACAAGAAAAACTTTATTACTAATCTATTCTTGCACTATTAAAAGAAGCAATAAAGGAAAAAATTTAGGTAAAAAAACTATAAAGAGTTAAAGAGAACTTGTGCTACTAAAAGAAGTTTCTTGCACTATTAAAAGAACCAATAAAGGAAAAAATTTGGGTAAAAAAGCTATCATGTTCTTTTTCTGTGTAATAATTAAAATACCTAACATATGAACGCGTCAAAGTGATGTTTCATATATTCGATAGGAAGTAAACATCGAGTATATTTGACTTGCAAAATAAAACCAGAAAGATCTTTGCGGTTAGATGTATCTTAATGCTTCGTTAAATATACATATGGTGTAAACAAACGCTAATAGCGCTTGCGAGACAATGTCGATTAATGTGCACGTACAGATATGATAACATGAACGAACGTATCGCACGATAAAAACGCAAAACGCGCTTGTTATTCGACGGAATCGTTTAATGAAACCGATGCGCGGGTTATGACGACCGATATCCAAAATGTTTCTCCTTGTTTAAACGCGCCACTTTACAGAGGAGACGCTAATTTGCATAAGAATTCAAGTCGAAAAATTTCACGCACGTATACAAAGCTGCTTTTATTAATTGCTACTCCCGACTCGAAGGTTGGCGTAACCTTCGATATGTATTTTTACTATCAACATATCGCTAATGATACCTTTAAATAGATCGTACGTTCACTATTTTCACCTTAGCATTCGATTATCAGCGATGTTCATTCCGATAGTCAAATATTGACTATCCAATTTACTCAGTCATTATCTCTTGTTTTCTCTTTTTTTTAGAGACCGTACTGGGTATACCAATAAGTCGAGGACACAGCAACGAGTTAGATAATGCGCCGTTTAGAAAGTGAGTGCAATATCGGCATTAGCGATACTTGTTAAACTGTCCGCCAATGTCGGAATACATAACTTACGCACACCACGATCTGCACGATTATTATATACTATACGCAATTGTCGATGTTCACACATGATTGTCTTTCACACAGAGGCAAAGTTATGGTACCGTACAGATTCACACGGCCATGGCTGCTGATCGACTGGATCTACCGATTGACGACGGCCGGAAAGTCGGAGGAGCGGCAACAGAAGGATCTCTTCGATTACTGTTTTAAAAAGATGAAGGAGAAGCGGGAGTTTCTCCAAAAGAACGGTTCTTCTTTGACCGATGACGAGACGAATGCGGCGACCACCAGGAAGATATCCTTGCTCGAGTACATGGTTGAGATGAACAACAAGAATCCTCACTTCATCGAGCAGGATATCATCGAGGAGTGTTGCACCTTTATGTTAGCGGGTATGGAGTCGGTCAGCACTAGCACCACATTGACGCTCTTTCTACTGGCTGCCAACCCCAAGTGGCAAGAGAGATGCATCGCCGAGTTGGATGAGATCTTCGGGAACGACAGGAGGTCGCCTACTATGCAGGATCTGAAGGAAATGAAGTGCTTGGAGATGTGCATCAAGGAGTCGTTGAGGATGTATCCCAGTGTGCCGCTTTTCGCCAGGATATTGGGTGAAGACGTGAGAATAGGTAAGATTCGGCGAAGGATCTTCGATGATCTTTTTTTTTTCATTTTTTTTACAATCTCTTCACTTTTCGATAGATTTCACAGTCATATTTTTCATTTTACAAGTTCTCAAAGAGAACCGACTCCGTAAAGCTTCCGAACAAGTTGAACTGTGTAGCTTATAAATATTAATTCTCAATTCATCATCGTGTCGCACAGGGAAGCAAGTGATACCGGCCGGTTGCGGCGTATTTATAGTACCGTATACCACGCATCACTTGCCTGATCATTTTCCTGATCCTGATCACTTCAAGCCGGAACGTTTCAGTCCTGAGAACTCGAAAGGGAGACACTCTTACGCCTACCTGCCATTCAGCGCCGGACCTCGGAACTGCATTGGTGAGAAAGGCGGACGAATTAATAAAATGAATCAAACGTTTTCTTGATTCCGTGAGAGATTTTAATATAAATCTGACTTTCTTCGCACTTATCCCTATCTTTTTCAGGACATAGATTTGCCATGCTCGAGATAAAAACGATGATTAGCGCTGTACTGAGGAAGTGTCGACTGGATACGATACGCGATAAGGACAAAGTGATAATTAAGTTTCGAATGACAATTAGAGCACAGGGCGGAGTTTGGGTTAAAGTGAGAGCTCGCGACAAACTTGTCGAATCGCAGTCATTAACTGAATGAGCCCCTCTTGCGATCTGTAAATAACAGATAGTGCTTATACTATATAATCGAAAAAGATAAAAAGAGAAACTAGATAAAAGTCGCCATTTTTGCTCGAAAAAGGTACCTGTAAAGCATATTTTGTTATTTGAGGTTGAAGTAAGAAGAAAACAATATTTATTTAACTAGGAAACTACGGGAAATATTTTAGAAGCGATAATAAATGTTTTTAAAACTTCTGTTAAAATATAGATGTGTTTAAGCATTTTAATAAAAGATCAAAATTTTTAAACAAATACTATATTTTCATTTAATGAATTCTACATCACGAAATATATAGGAATGTCGTATACATAGTACAAATGCATTCACAATTACTCATATACATTTATCATATGTAAATACATTCATACATATTTTTGTCAAAATATAAAAAATGATACTCATTTTAAACATTAATTCTTACTATCCACGCATACATGCTCCTCTCACCTAACGCACACATCTACATAGACATAAGCCTTGCTAGGACCTATAAAAGACACAACCCACATAGCACAAGATTTAAAAGATGTCCCAAAAACATCCAGAGGATTGCTAAATGTCTGCATAAGTCCTCAGAATATCCTAAAAATATTCTGAGGACTTCTAAATGTTCACACAAATCTCCAAGATATTCCTTCAAGATCTTATGCTATGAGGGAAACGTACTTCAAGTCGACATAATGCCTGAGATTTTGGTTTTACTGAAATGAAAATAAGTAGACGACTGAATCATTTATTAAAAAGATTAATTAGAATCAAGAAAGAAGAAGACTCAAAATATAAGGGATATATCAATAAGAGCAGTGAGGTGCGTGTATAGGAGGATTCGCATGCGTATGAGTGAGAATTAAAGTGCATTTGTATAAATGTTACATATGTAAGATTAAATAATTTTGTTTATGAAACAAATTCTTTAAAATAATGATTTATATAAACGCAAAAATATTTTTATTCAATAGCAATCTAATACGCCGCAAAGTAGTAGGTCCGATCTAAAATGTGCGAATGCGAGTTTTAATGTTTTATTCAGCAGTATTTTTAATACTTTCTCTCCCAATGTTTATCTCTTTTTCTTTATTTACTGATTAAGTGCGTTTCGAGAACTTAGCGCACCT